TAAGGAGGCTGCCCAAAAACGACTAGAAACCCTAGAGAATCAGTTGTCCATGTTTTTGGGGCCTAAGGGGTCCTTTATATACTTGTGTGGGCTGCTAGGGTTTCAGTCAAAACCCTAATGGACAGCTTAAACTCTAAGCAGCCCATGGAACCTTCTGGACAAGGCTATGGACGAAAATATGATGGGCTTCCATCATAATTTCGTTCACCCCTTATTCCTTTAGCATTCCTTAGCCCAATAACTCAATTATCCAATAATTGCAGTCCAGTTCCCTATATTTAATTAATCTCTTTAAGTCACAAAATTAATTCTTAATTAATTATTGACTAATATTAATTAAACAATATGATTTCTCCTTTAATATATTATTCTCATAATATATTAATAAATCATATTTAAACCTTTCTCTCCTTAAATCATCCTACATATTGCTATGGTGAAGGCAACCCAAAAGGACCATGCTCATAATCGGGTCAAGTACATACCAAAATAGTTATGGACTTAGACACTAATCCAACAGTTTCAACTTACCTAGATGATGATCTTTGTGGAAGAACTCCCTTGAATTCCTCTTAGATCTTCGAAAATTTGGAGAGAAATGGAGAGAGCTCCTTGAGAGAAAAGATGAGTGAACTGTTTGTGTGTGTGTTTGGGATTCGGCCGAGAGGGGGAGAGAGAGGAAGAATGTGACAACCCTATTTTTCCCAAAAACATTGTAAACACTCGAAAGCTAAAAACAACGAAATTAACCTCGAAAATAAAGTGTTCAGATATCTAAGTTGGGATGCATCGAATATTAGATATCATGCCCAGGTTTCCAAAAACATAAAGAACACTCAAAACCGAGTTATATTGAAGAAATTATAACCACTCGTATAATTACGACACGACGTTGAGACATAATTTGATGTAAAAAGTGAAATCTCAATAAAATACATTTTAGCCTTAAAGTATCTAAACAAAAGTCGTAGATCTCGTTAAAAGATGAGTGTGCATAAAAAGATCGCCCAATTTGGACCTCGTATGAAGAAGTTACGAATTTTCAAAGTTTCGTAACAGTAGTAAAGGGCTAAAAACTCGGATTGAAGATCGAGTATTATTTAGCTATCGCCACCTAAACGGAAGTTGAAGATCTCCTCGGTGGTAATAAAACAATAAAAAGACAAACGAAAACCGACGTCGAATAAAGAACCTATGAAATTTTAACGAACTTTAGGAGTCCCGGCCTATTAAAATTATATCATTAAAAATAAAGTCAAAACTAGCCGACGGAGTCTAAATGAAAGTTGTAGAGCATAATCTCACCTACGCGTGGATATAAAGACCGCGAAAAACGAAGCTCGTACGCGAAAGTTACGGAATTTAGAAGTTGGAAGCAGGGATTACGCCCCGCGTAATCTGGGAGTACGCCCCGCGTACTAGACCCAGGGTCGAGTCCCATCGGCCCGCCCAAATTACGCCTAGCTAGCCAGGAGTCGTAAGCCATGACGCCTTATTACGCCCCGCGTAACCGAAGTACGCCCCGCGTACTGACTACGCCCCGCGTACTCCGGCAGTACGCGCCGCGTACGGGGGTTTTCAGCCCTATAAATTGAGGGCATAAGACTCGGGTTTTGGCACACCTTCACCATTTCTCAGACATTCTCCCAGCTCCAGAGACCCTTTTCTCACCTCGGTTTCCGCACTCGAGCCCCGACGAAAGATTTACGTTGCAGAAGTTCCCAAAGAGCCCGACGACGCAACTATCCGAGATCGAAACTCTGCTCAACTCTAGCCCCTCTCTTCAAACTTAACGAGTGAGTTCATACCCCTACTTTTAAATCCTTTTACATGTTTTAGGGGGGGAAATACAAGTACATTACACGTTAAAAGTATCGTTTTCTAAACATAAATGCAATTTCTAACTTCGAATATCGATACAAACATCTTATGTATACAAGGGCAATTATATCACTAAGTTATGTCTACGAAATGGAACATACTATCTGAAGAACTATGATGGGTATAGTTAGCAAGTCAATCCTACATTTTTATACAATTTGAAAAACGAAACACTTTCAAAAAGGAGTAAAGTCATTTCATTGTAAATCTATTTATACTAGGTAAATGTGAGACATTTAAACTTCAACGTACATTTTTGTACGCATTTCAAGTCCTGTATTATATACCATAATCTCTTAGAGGGAGAGCGTGATACTTGTGTATAGATCTATACGGGATTGACAATCCCGCACCTAAACTACTAGCTATAGTTAGACCGGCAGGTCTGGGGTGACAAATGTCATAACACTGCAACACTTGAAGAATGTTGTTACAGGCCGTCAGTGTCAATAGTATGGTTATAAAACTCACATAAAAAGTATAAAACAAGATTGATTTACAAGGTTCATATGTGCATCGCAGTATTTCTACATTATATTTTCATACTAAATTATTGTTATCAATTGTTTATAAAAGTTACTAACACATTCCAACTTTGGAACCTTTTACATTTTACAAGAAAATATTGGATTTTCTAAAGATCTCATTTACCAAATTACTACCAAAGGAATATACTTTTCAACTCGGAACACTCATGAACTCACCAACTTAAATGTTGACACTTTTCAAAACCACTTGTATTTCTCAGGGAATCTGTGATACAGGTAAACTACCAGCTTTTGGAAGAAGGAACACAAAGGATGATTTTATCATTAAACATTTATTCATCATATTGTAATATTCTTTTGATAACATGTATAACGCAACAATACACGTTTTCATTGTTATATATATGATGGTTGTGTTACTTTCTTTGCAATATTCAATCGTTGTGATACTACGTGAAGTCATCCACCCCCGAATGTTTCCGCCATTCAGGTTTGGGGGTGTGACAAAGAAGAAGAGAGAAGCATGAAAGGATGGTGCATGGAAGTATGAGTCTCCTTGCATGGAAGTCCTTTGGTTAATTGTGAGGTACCACTCACAAGGTCAACCCTTCCTCTTGGGCTTGTTTTGGGCCGAGATTTTTGAAGGAAAAGGGAAATTTTGGGCTTTAATCCCCTCAAGCCCATGTAGAAGTTAAGTTGGATGAGTTTTATCCTAAAAGAAATATAAATTGATTTTAGCACTTAGTTGGGCTAGTTTAGGTTAATCATGGTTCAAAACTTTTAACTTATTTCATTCTAGGCCCAATATGGCCCAAAATGTTGAAATAAATGAATGTGGGTCCAATTAGAGCCCACTTAAGGGTTCTAAGCCCATGATAGTTAAATTGGAAGCTTATTGGTCCATAGAGTCCAATAAGGAAGTCCTAGTCCAAAATGGACCTAATTAAGGACTTCTAGGATTTCCAATTGTTTGATGTAGTGAATTGAGGTTTAGTTTTTCCATTGAGTAAGCATCATACATGCTCTTGAGTTTTTGATTCAATGTTTTACTTAAGTATAGTGATTACAAGACACAAAATTTCTAGTTGTGACAATAACCAATCCTTGGATCTACTGTGTTCCGTTCTCCTCACAATATTACCCAAAGGGTGAAGTACTAATAGATCTAATGAAATAACGAACCTCGATCATTAACAAAACACCTTCATGAACGACAAAAACAGACCCCCCTCAATACGTAACTAGCTCGATAAAACTTTTAAAGTTAACTAGAAATATTGCTAAAACCATGGTCGTGTTGGATTAGTGTCTAAGGTTGTAACTATATTTGGTAATTACTTGACCCGGTTGTGCATGGTCCTTTTGGATTGCATTCACCATAGCAACTTGACAATGTGATTTATATAGAGAGAATAAATATTATTATTAATATGTTATAAGATTAATATATTAAAGGAATAATAATATTGTTTGATTAATATAAGTCATAAATTAATTAGGAATTAATTTGGTGACTTAAAGAGATTAACTGAATAAAGGGGCATAAACTGTCAAATGTGTGATAGTTGTGTTTTAGGCTATGAATCCTTATGGATATGGGAAGGGATGATTTTAAGGATATGGATATCCTAGAAATCGTCCAAGGCCTTATCCAGAAGGATCTTTGGATTGCTTTGAGGCTAAGTTATCCAATTAGGGTTTAGGGTGAAACCCTAAGAGTTCATAGTATAAATAGATCCCTGGGGTGAGGGAAATCGGCACTTATGCAAGACAAGGAACCCTAGGGCCGATTTCTCACCCTCCCCTCTCTCTCTCTCTCAAATCATCTTCTTTCTAGTAGGTGTTTGTAACCCATTAGAGGAGTGATAATTGTGACTCTAAGCTCCAAGAAAAAGAAGTATCAAGCAAGTAACTAAAGGTATTCTTCTAAATCTGTTTTTCATATGTTATGAATTGTTTGTTTACACTAGATCCATGAATGAAAGTCCTGGATACATGCATGTTCAATTAGAGAAACCTGGATCCAAGCAATTAGGGTTTTCATGTGCACATAGGAAAGTTCTTATGGCTCAAACCCATCAGGTCGGACCCATGCAATTATCAACCTTACCAACACGACATACCAAAGATTAGATTCTACACAAATCTAGTGTCATGTCCAGAAGACTGAACAACATTGTACCAAATTCCATACTTCCATTAACCAAGAACATCCTCCAAACTCGAGCCGAACTTGACGATAGATTAATGCATCCATTGAACCTCAACTGATACAGTTTAAAACTTCCGAAGAATCACCACTCTGATGATGAACGAATGAACAATGATCAAGAATGAATTGACACCTAATCCAATGAACCAATACCATGTTGGATAAAGCTTAAGAAGGACTAAACATACTAATTAATTAGAAACTAGTTTATTAAGTTGTCTCAGCTTGACAAATTAATTAGAAACTAGTTTGAATTGATTTAGAATTAATTTGGTATTAATTAAAAGTATATATACACTGAATATTAATTAATTTTCAATAGTTGAATAACTAGAATATTATGGAATCTTTAAGAGATGGGACGGAAATCAACTAGGGATTATCCCTAGTGATTTTTGAAATCTTTTATTTATGGAAGGATGTGGGAACTGATTTGTTTTGAATTAAACAATGATTTAAATTTGGTATTTATATTTACCAGGTTTCTTTTCCACCAAGTCACATTCGATTATAAATATCTCCTCCCAGCCTCCTGGAAATCTCGCCCCATGCACTCACTTTCGTGACTGACATTTTTTTTCTCTTTTCTTGACATCTAGTGGACTATTCTTAAGACCGTTAGTTTCAAGTTCTAACATTTAGCCTTTTAGGTGTGTCACTTAAAGACATTCTACTTTGGGTGTTATACCTTTCTGAAGCTTCAAGAAATTCGACAACCACAAGAGATCTTCAAACAAAACGATTTTGCTAGAGGTTAATATTTCTTAACCATCTTTGTTGTTCATATTATTAGACTAGTGATCCTTATAGGGTTTAAATCTTAACTTGCCTAAAATAAATTTTGTTGTTTCCACTAGCATGAATTTTTTATTGTTAGAATTAGTAAAACCCAACAGTAATATTAATATTGTTTTATTGTTAGAGTAAATCGATTTTCATCAAGTATGATATACTAAAACATTGTGTAAAAGTTCTATGGTCTTATTTATCGGATGCAAAACTCAACACCACTTTGAAACAATGTAGTGAGTAGTTGATAGTAAATTCAAAATGCCTTTTAGGTCTGAAAATAAAGGAATTTTTCTTTAACATGAATACTTCAATGTGTAATTTTGGTAAGGGTTTAAGTCATTTTTGATCATTTAACTATTACTTTTGTGTTTATTTGATCACTTAATTCTTTTTAAGTTTTAAAAGATCATCAAACTTTTAGCTTTGTGCTCATTTAGTCACTTAACTCTTGGTTTGATTACATTTAGTCATCTAGTTTTTAAAATTGTGCTCATTTAGTCACTAAACTTTCAAAAAAATTTAAAAGTTTAGTGATTAAATGAGCACAATTTTAAAAGTTAGGTGATTAAATGAGCACAAATCTAAAAGTTAAGTGACCAAATCAATAGTTAAGTGATTAAATGAGTACAAAATTAAAAGTTTAATAACCTTTTAAAACTTAAAAATAATTAAATTACCAAATAAACACAAAACAAAAATACTTGAACCCTTTACGGTTAATCGGTATTTTTTTTCATAAAATTGTGTATTTAGACATTATCTTTTAAAAAGGACATAATACACAGTGAAGAATAAAATAAAATAAAAAGGATGAGCAAGTGATTGTGAAGGTACGGATTTATGCAGGGCTTAAACGAGTCCCCAAACTTCCTCCCTTGATTCAAAATTTCTCAAATTTTTCTAAATAAACCCTAATTCTGCAGCAAAGACCACTACCAATCGCAATCTACATCGGTAATATTTTTATCTATTCACTTTCTACGTTTAATTTGTTATTTATTTGATCAAAAAAAAAATCATTCCATTTTTTTTTCGTTCGAAATAAGTTTAGCACCAAAACCCTAATTTTGCCCGGGCATTCGTCAATCAAAATTAGGTTTTTCCCTTGATATTAACAAATTTCTGATTGAGGTTTCTTTTTTGCAGTTTTCGATTGTATGAAGTTGATTGATGAGAAAATGAGTAATCGGCCGAGCACGCGCAACAAAAACAAGAGGCCACGATCGGATAATAATGCTGAAATCGTTTCTGAATTATACAGGTGATAGAAGTTCAGTTTCAATTTTTTTCTTTTAACGCAAGTAGGATGCTAATGATCTTCATTGTGCTTTTCCAAATCAAATTTTGAAGTGCATTCTATGTTTTGTGGACGTAATGAGGTTTTTCTTATGCTAAAACAGTTTGTTTTCTCCAAATTAATTCCCTCTTTACTGTATATTGACCCGATGTCCTAAAGCTTATAAAACCACTTAGGGTAACATGTATAATCTTCTTAAAACTTAAGTAGCAACTTTTTCCTTTCTTGGATAGGAAAATTCACTTGTCTGGGGAAGTGTCAAAGGATGATATAAAGCAGATATATATGTTTGGGAAGCCAGTATGTCAAGGGTGTCGAGTAAACACAAAAGATAATCCCAACTGCTTTTGTGGGTTGATTCCACCTTCAAATGGAAACAGAAAATCTGGTTTATGGCAAAAGACATCAGAGATTGTTTTCTCACTGGGCCCCGATCCTTCTAAAGATCTTCGTGATTCCCTCAACACGCCAGCTGGCCTAACAAATCTTGGAGCAACATGTTATGCAAACAGCATTCTCCAGTTTTTATACATGAACAAGTCATTCAGAGAAGGTGTACTATCTGTTGAACCAGAGGTTTTGTCAAAACAGCCTGTTTTGGGTCAACTTGCTCGACTCTTTGCTCAGCTTCATGCTAGTAAAATGGCATTTATTGATTCAGCTCCTTTCATTGAAGCACTGGCATTGGATAATGGTATTCAGCAAGATAGTCATGAGTTCCTTACATTGCTTTTTTCTTTGCTTGAGCAATGTTTGAGCTGTTCACAAGTTTCAAAAGCAAGATCAGTTGTTCAAGATCTCTTTCGTGGAGGAGTGTCACATGTAACCAAGTAAGTTTACTTCTCAAATGCTAATATGTAGCAAGTAAAATACAAGTTCTTTTCTTCTGAGTCAAACTATTTCATGTAAATGAGGATTTATCTGTTGTCATCACTTTATTTGGTGACCTAGGTGTTCTAAATGTGGGAACCAATCAGAAGCCTCATCAAATGTTGAAGACTTTTATGGAGTGGAGTTAAATGTCAAGGGTTTGAAGAGTTTGGATGAAAGTTTAGATGACTATCTTTCTGTTGAAGAGCTTCAAGGGGATAATCAGTACTTTTGTGATTCATGTGCCACTCGTGTAAATGCTACACGTAGCATCAGACTGCAGTCACTGCCACCTGTCCTTATTTTCCAGCTCAAACGTTGTGTTTTCCTCCCAAATGTAAGAACATTCTTTATAATCTTGTAACTAAACAAATCTCAATTACCATATTGACCTTCTTATATACTTTTTCATAGACTACAACAAAGAAGAAGATAACCTCTGCATTTTGTTTCCCTGGACATGTTGACATGGGACAACGGTTATCCAATGAAACTGAATCTGAATTGATATATGATTTATCAGCAGTTTTGATTCACAAGGGTGTAGCTGTAAATAGTGGCCACTATGTAGCCCATATTAAAGATCAAGACACAGGGGTATGGTGGGAATTTGATGATGAAACTGTCTCAGACATGGGTCAACACCCTTTTGGTGATAAACCTCATCCACCTGGACAATCTTGCCCCTCTGAACCTAATACTCTGGTAAATGGAAACCACATGGATGTTTCTGGAACTACTACTGATGTACAAACATTCTCTTCAAACGATGCATATATGCTGATGTATTCTCTTAGACATCAATCCAATGGTGATATAAAACCACAAATGGGATCTTGTGATTCTTATCTCCCATCTCATCTTTTGAATGAAGTTAACGAGTTAAACAAGTCATATCTTGATTCTTGTGAGAATTACAAGATAAAAAAAGAAGAAAAATTAAGTCTTATAACAGAAAGGCGACATGAAGTAAGGTCAGTTATCTCTGAAGCTCCTGTTAAGCCATTAATGGAGCCAAAACCATTTTGGTGGATTTCAGTAGACTGGTTACGCCAATGGGCTGATAACTTCACTCCTAGGTAAAGTCATAAGTTTTCATTTTTCACAATTCATATAGAATTTTTACTCCTCAAAAGTTGTAAATAACTCATTTTTTCTACAGTATAATCGACAACACTTCAATCCAATGCTCACATGGGAAAGTTCCAGTTTCCAAGATTTGCTCCATGAAAAGGTTATCAGCCACAGCTTGGCATAAAATATCTTCCAAGGTATTATGTAATTAATATGTTTAGGTTTAACAAAAGATGAGAAGTTTCCGTATTTGACCCTGAGTTTGACTTTTTTATGTTTGCTTGTGAATATCAATCAAGTATGGAGGTGGGCCCGAGTTAGGTGAAAACGACTGCTGCATTGAGTGTCTTAAGGAAACAGCACGTGCTACAGTGAGTGCTGATAGCTATAGAGATGGAAGAAGTGTAATGAAAGAATATGCAGAAGCAGCTCTTGCTGGAAAATCCCTTGATGGACCTTTGTATTACATATCCAAGGCATGGTATGTTACTATGTTATTAATTAAATGCTATAATCAACAAAATTTATTCTTTTTTTTTTTTTTTTTTTGGGTGTTAGGTTGAGTCAATGGATAAGAAGAAAAAACATTGACTCTCCATGTGATGCGGATACTGGGCCAACAGCTTCAATCAGGTGTGAGCATGATCAGCTTATGCCTGAACAAGCACCTGGAGCCAAACGTGCCCTAATTCCAGAAACTTTGTGGGAATTTATTTATAAAGCATCCAATGAAGTGAAGCCTGATGATATGATTGGCTGTATGGTTTTTCCTTCAGACTCTGAAACATGCTCTCATTGCTGTTCTAAACTCTCTATAGACACAAACAAAGAGGATAGCCTAAGGTTATGGCTTGGTTTTTTTCCTTACTTTGAAGGGTTTTTAATTTTTTAATTTTGTATTGATTTGAATCTTCAAAATTTTAGGGATTTTAAACTAAAACAACGCCAATCTCATGAGAAATTGGCTCTTGGGAAAAGCGTACCTCTTTTCCCACAAGATAGATACTATTTGTTGCCATCTTCATGGCTTGCCACGTGGCGAACCTACATCACGACAAGTGGCAAGAATGCATCTTCTATTGAAAAACCAGAAAACCTCAATATCACCATTGAGTCACTGAAATGTGTACAGGTGTTTGTTTGATATTTAAAACAAACACATTCGTTTAGTTTTTTTTAAAATATAAATTAATTGCAGTTCTTTTTGGTATTTAAAATAGCACTCGAAGCTTCTTCAAAGGCCTCCTGATCTTGTAAGAAAACGTGGTGCAATTCTCCAAAAGGCTCCTGCTGTAAGAACATTTGATATAAAGTAAACTTAAAACTATTATACATTGTATGAAGCTGATGATTTTGCTTTTTGTAGGTAGATGAGTTGACAATTATCACTGAAAATGATTGGACTTCATTCTGTAAAGACTGGAATGCTATCGAGGAAAAAGGGATAACTGCTGAAATTGATTTAAGTAATTCTGGTGAAGATATTTTAATGGGAACATCTGAAGATATGCCAATCACAGAGGAGAATGTTAACTCTCTTGATGAAGTAAATGGTGACACTGAATCTCAAGGGCCGATAATCAAAACTTATCCTGAGGTACATTTTACAATTTTACCCCTTATTTATACTTGTTGAGAATGAGTTTGCAACTGCTACTTATATTTTGTAGGTGTGTGAAGATTGCATTGGTGAAAGAGAAAGCTTGGAGTTAGGGAAGAAGCTCAACTATGTTGATGAGGATATTTGCATTTGTTTTGTTCGTGGGAAAGAACCTCCAAAATACATTCTAGAAGGTTCTGGAAACATCCTTGAGCCAAATCGCCGGTTATCTAAACGTTCTAGAAGGACAACTTATGGAAACTCGGTGAATTTAAATGTTTCGGGGTCCACAACTCTCTATGACCTCAAGATGATGATCTGGCAATCATTTGGGGTATGCTATTTACAAGTTATGTTAATCTTGAAAATTGAAATAGAGTGTTTATAAATAATAAAGTTGAGTTGATTTTGTTGCAGATTGTGAAGGAAAACCAGATACTTCACAAAGGTTCAAAGATAGTTGATGGAGAAAAATCTACTCTTGCGGATATGTATATTTTCCCGGGTGATGTTTTATGGGTCACGGATACTGAGATCCATGAGAACCGTGACATTGCAGGTATTGTCATTGTCACTGTTACTGTTACTGTCACTGTCATTGTCAGTATAACTAGTGTTGTACTGTCATGTCATGTGTAACGAGTGGGGGATTATTTTAATATGTATTGTGATTTTTTAGAAGAGCTTTCTACAAAAATGGAGGTGCAACAATCAGAGGGAGGTTTTCGAGGGACACTTTTGACATCAAATATCCCTTCACAAGAATGCTACAACTAATATAATAATGAGAGGATTTGTTTGGTAATTTTGTATACTTGAAGGAAAACCAACGGATTTTGGTAAATATTTTCCAAGGTAATATACTAATATGAATATCTCTTTTCTTTTTTCATTTGTGAAATTTTACCATTTAAATAGTATAATGTTGTAATTTATTATATTGTGTTGTTTCAGAAGGCTGGCAAGTTATGTTGGTGGACATGGGGCTCGTTTGTTTGCTAAAAGTGTGTAAAATTTCTTGAGTTTGGAAAGATTGTTGGTTTTTTGGTACCTTAAGTGATCAAATGAGCATAGCACTCTTATATTTTGTTAAAAGAGCTCGCTCTCTCTCTTTCTATATATATAATATCATGCCAATCATTGGCAATGGCGTTCACCAGTTTTTCATGTTTATGATTTGCCGAATTCAGTAAAAACTTGCTTTTATGCATAAAAATAGAAGTTTTGCTTAATTTTAACTGGTCTTTACAGTTCTATAAACAAAAAAATAATAATAAAAATAAAGGTATGTTGATAAAAATAATGTTCACTTGGTAATTTATACATGATAATAAAAGTTTAGCTTAATTTTATTTATTTGTTTTTTTATGTAGTATTTTACTTTTATTTGTTTATTTAAATACAAAATAGTTTTCATTCCCATAGTGGGATAGATTTTTTTAAAAATAGTACTTCAATATAAAAAAACAGACAAAAATATCGACAATTGTTTAAAATAAATCAAAAAAACTTGTAGTTGTTTATACATTTGAGATTTTAGTAGATTTTAGTTGGTGGTTTTGGTTTTTAATATGAAAAGTCTCAATTTTTTACTCTTCAACAATAAAGTAACGATTTTCTTTTGCATAAAAAAATCCAGTAAACTTTATTATATTATAATCTTATTGTATTTTTGTTGTAGGACAAAGAATGTTATTTTACTGATGTTATTGACTTTTTGTATACTCTGTTACGACAGGTGGTGTCTTTATTATAAAGATTAAATTCTTAATCAGAAAATGACATATATATATATATATATATATATATATATATATATATATATATATATATATATATATATTCAAACAAAATATCTTATGTCAAACATAGAAAATATATAAGATTGTAGTAAAATAACACTCTACTAGATAAAATAATAATATTAGAGTAAGATGATATTTTATGTAAAAAGGTGAATATTGTTGGTTATAGCAAGTCAATAGCATATGTTAGACAAATAACATATTTTAAAATTATATTAAAATAATATTCCGTCGGACAAATGACAATAGTATTATCTTACTACAATATTATTATATTCTTTTTGTTTAAGTGAGTATTATCTTAATGTAAGCATAAAATATTATTTTACTATGATCATGAAATATTACCTTATACAAATGTTTTCCCTTTAAAGGTGTTGTCATGTAATCATGGAATATTACCTTATGCAAATCTTAATCATGGAATATTACCTTATGCAAATCTTTTTCTTTTTAAGGTGTTACTTTTTTTTTTATTTGGAATGTTACTTTACTATATTCAATTTGTCTAATGAAAGTGTTATCTAATTATCATCTTATATATTGCAGTAGATAAATTAAATATCTTCTTACATTTTCTTCCTCTATTTATTTTTCTATCACATGAAATTATGACAAGTGTAGTTGTCATCATTTCAAATGGATAGAAAGATAATTAAAAATAAAAATAAAAAGAATTTCTCAATTCTATCATATTTTTTGACATATGATATTATACAACAAGATTGTAGTACAAAGACTTTTCAGATGATTACCGTTAAAACCCAAAATTATTAACTAAAATCTCAAATGTGTAAATGTTGTCCAATTTCTAGTCAAATTCTATAAACAGTTGTCTGTATTTAATCTTTTTCTATTAAAAAAAGTTAAAACAATGACTTAATCGTTAATAACCCAAAACATAAAGAATTTTCTAAAGAATAAATAAAAAATCACAACTCCAGAGAATAAAATCACAACAAAAAGTAGAAGTATCAACGTGAACTCTTAATTTAAGAACTAATTCATTCAAGCAAAGTGGTATAAATAAATACAAACAGATCCTTCTCCATAAAAACCAGCAAAAAACTTCCATTTAAAGTGCCTCAGTTGTCATCTTACTAACCCAAAAAAAAAAAAGGCTTCGTATACATATAATATCACAAACCCGGATTAAAAAAAACCCGCCCGTTTTACAAAACTGGATTATAAACCAACCCAATATGAACGCCCATTTGAGTTGTGTATTGGAGATGATGTTGGAGAGGTCACACACCATTCATACCAAACCTATATATAACCCACACAAACAAAACAAACAAATTAATTATTAATTATATTATATTATAGCAACAAGGATTTCCATAATTAAAAATAATTTATTTTACTTTGGTATTGCCACAACACCGCCAAATGTGAAATTCCAAAGGAGCCCCTGCTTTCACGTATATGGGTGACCTTAATGGGAAGAATATTGGAAACCTGTACAAATAAAATACTAATAATTACCAACTGATAGAAAAAAATAAAAAAGAAGATTTAATTTAATTCATGGAAACTCACCAGCTGAACATATTTGGTGTTGCAGTTGTTGGTTCAATGCCCAAATGCACGTCTTTATAAAGTATCGCATCAAAATAACCAGCAAACCCTAGAAACCCACATTTAAAAAAATAAATAAACTTGTATATATGACATCATTAATCCCAAAAAAAGAAAAACAGTTTTTACCATGAATAATAGTTGATCCAGTATCATTCGGCATTTCAAATCGAAGCTTCTTGTATCGTTCATTACTTTTATTGGGGGAGTAATTTGGATGTGTAAACGTAAAAACCTGATTTAAAAAAATATAAAATAGGTTTTATAAAATTAAAAAAAAAAAAAAAAAAAAAACACTTTTATTAAAATGTGAAAGATGGAGAAGAGAAGTAGAAAACTCACAGATTGAGATGGAGAAAGTTTGGACAAACGGTGTAGCTTTACAACATAAGCGGTTTCAAAGTGTAAAAGATCTTTATGCAATTTCACCTAAATTTAAAATATTAAATAATCAATATCTATACTTTTTTTTAAAAAAAAAAAAATGGAAAGTAAAAATAAAATCAAATAGGGAAACGACTTACATCGTTATATAACTTTGATGTAGTCACGGGCTGTATAAAACTTGTATACCTAACACAATAATACGTGTATAGAATAAAAAATCGATAAAAAAAAATAAAATAAAAGCAATATTATATTATTATTAACATTAAAATAAAATATTAAATTCATACGATGAAGGAATTGAGATTCCATCTGGCTTTAAGAAGCGTTGAGCTCCATCAAGACATTCGGGTGAGAGCTCATTGTCACCAAAAGAACCGAGCAATTCACTCACCTAAATATCAAATAAATTAAACATTTCAAAATTATTAATACTATTAAATTAAAGTACGTAATTAAAAAAAAAAAAAAAAAAAAAAAAAAAAAAAAAAAGTTTGTGTACCAAAATGTCGGCTTTTTCTGGAGCTTCCCAGCATCTCATGTCACATGAAATTATTGTCACGTTATTCTCCCATCCCTCTAATTTAACCAAACTCTATTCAAAAAAAAAAAAAAAGATACAAGTTATAATAATAAAAAGTTAAAAACAAAATAAATGAAAATTTCAACTGACATGAAGTGTGACAACTGCATTTGGATTCTTTTCTACAGCATAAACTTTCAACTTGCGTCCAGTTTCTTCAGCAGCCTATTCACAAAATTATTAATATAAATAAATAATATTTTCAAATGATATTGTTTTAAGTTTTACCTGTAAAGATGCTCTAACAAGAGGTCCTCGTCCAGCACCTACAACCATCAACACCTGTAAAATGACAAAAAAGGGCATCAGAAAATACATATTTCAAAAAAAAAAAAAAAAAAAAAAAGATTTAAGAAAAATAACAAGGCTTACAACAGTTGTTGCAGATGCATTCTCATCAGAAACCCTATCCACTAATGCTTTACTCACTGCCCTTTGATACTGTCATAAATCAAAAAATTTAAAAAAAAAAAAAAAAATTTACAAATTGATTTAAATAAAAATACCTGAATGTATTTGACACTGTCTTTTTCAAATGTTTCATAAGTTTGGGCTTCTAAATTATCCATAAGAGGCTGAAATGAACAGAATAGACAATAAAGATTAAATAGAAAATCCCTGAAAATAAAATTTTGCAAAAACAACTTAACTTACTTGTAAGGGAGATTGTAGAAAATCCCTGTATCCAAGCTGCATAATAATTTATGATATCAACAAAATATATCATGTTATAATTTTTATAAAAATGGATTATTGGATTAATAATGGACACCTCACCTCAAAACGTTCTTGTTCAGGAAGGGGTTCCATTTTCTGATATAAATACCCAACATAATCCAAATATGACCTTAAGTCATGTCTTTGAGCTTCTGAGTAACAAAATATTAAATTTAATTCAAAATCATATTAAAAAAAATGACAAGTTTATTGAAAAAAATGGAAACTCACGTTGGGCATAATTATCAGTTTGGTTTACACCTAATGTTGCAGGAAGTTTATGCACTGGTTTTCCAGAAAGCACAATCTGAATAAATTTTACAACACTTTTTTATTATTAATCCTAGTGGATTTATATTTAAACAACATTTATTATCTCATTAGAGCAATTAAATGATATAATATATATATATATATATAATATACCTGTATTGAATAGTAAAAGAAACTGTTGAGTAGATTCTGATGACGTTTGGATAGACAAGGGTAGCCACGTGCGTTTGTTAGAAAAGACTGAAGATCATTAAAGAAAAATGTTAATTTAAAATAATTAATTTTAAAAATAAAATAAAAATTAAGATTTGATTATATATATATATATATATATATATATATATATATATATATATATATATATATATATATATGTGTGTACATCAGTATGAAGAATAGCAGCTTTAACAGGCTCTCCAATCCAACGCCCAAGTGAATTTGCAGAAGGTAATGAAGACCTAAAATTACATATATATATAATTGGAGTTAATAATTACTATCATTTAAAAGATGTAATATATAAAAAAAAAAAAGAAAAGAAAACATTTAAATTGTATATTGAAAGATTGTTTGTGTCTATGTCTACTCACAGAACATCAAGGGCAACTGACAGCTGGCTGTGATGCTCACATAAAACACGAAAAGAATTCCATAATTCCCAAGAGTCTGTAATCTCTATTGCCTATAAGAAAAAGAAAAAGAAAGTCATAACATTTTTACAAATTTGCCCTTGTTTTGTTTTACTCATGTGAGGGAACTCACCATGCCATTGACAGCATCATCATCAACATCAGATTTCTCCAGAGGAATCCTAAGCCACAGCTTTGGAATGGAAATGAAGAATAAGAATAAAGAAAAATG